GGGGGCAAGCCGTAGTTTTATTACAATTTGCGTTCAATCTTCAAGCTTGACGATTTTGTCGCGTAGTTTATGTTTCAAATGTTACATGTTTGAACGATGAATGTGTCAGGTTTGGCGATGGAGTGCTACGTTGTTTACATAAAATTCTGGCGTTTGTGGAAGAATACTGGAACGTTTTGTTCACGCGCACGCCAGATTATAGGCAATTTTCGATATTTTCGAATGTTACAGTCGTACGTTATTTTGCAAGATAGAACGAAAGATATACATAAGGATAAAAAACATATCCATTATTCGCTATATACTGTATGAAAACATATTCACAAATCGTCAAGCTTCAAGGTTGAACGCAAATGGTAATACTTGTCAAAGTACAAAGTAATCTGGGCACTTGCATGCAATAGGAAATTCCAGCTTTTAATTTATGCGCGCAGGGGAGGATGGGAAGTAAGGTATCATATTGCTGATTAAGCCGAAAAAAATAAAAATGACGGCCGTGTTAACACGGAGTGATAGCTTACACTTGTAAATATTGAAATATTACGGTTGTTTCGGTAGTTTTTATTGAAATGTTTCAGCAATATGATACCTTACTTCCCATCACCCCCTGCGTGCATAATTAAAAGCTGGAATCACGGCCAATTGGTCAACGATCTATTGTTGTAATGGGTAATAATAGCTATTGTGGCGGTCAGAAAACCAAAAACTTGTCATATAAAATTTGTCGCACATACACACCTGCATGCACTTGGCAAATAAAACTTGTCACATAAAAACTTGTCATAGAAAACTTGCTCGTCTGGAACCGACTTTAAACTGACACTGTGTTTATTGTGTTTGTACAGACATTGATGAATGTAATTTGAAAACGGATAATTGTCACGATGATGCTAACTGCACAAACACTGGTGGAGGATTTGTTTGTACCTGTAAGTCTGGCTACACCGGAAATGGAACCACGTGTACAGGCAAGTATATTTAACTTGTTGTATAATTGGGGGACACAGGGGTGGGGGGGAGTTATCAGCCATCCCCAATGACGCTTTTAGATCATTGACTCTGTAACTGTAATCGTTACTGTAACTGTTTCATAACCATGAAGGCCTTAAATCGTGGCAAAATTCCGTGGACACTTATCGGTGTAAACTAAAGTATTACTGTTCACATACATATATTGGCGTCTGTGTCTCCCCCGCTGCCCCTCCCCCCCCCCCCCTATAATATTGGTTTTGACATGTAATCTTTCAACATTGAACGGGGGGAGGGAAAATTTAAAAATTGCTCTTTTTTGCACATATGCATTGGGCAATTAGGCAGGTATTTCTAATTTAGGATTGCCAACAAATGCATGTGTGTAAATTTACATGTGAACCAAAATAGTTCCCGAACTTCTGTTTTTGATACTTGCAGGAACAGAAGAGTGGTAATATGGTAGCAACCATAACTGACACCACCATTATTTCGCAGTATACTACTATGTAGCTATGTTGCATTATGGAAATTAACATTTTGTGAGCTGAATTTCTTGCATACCGAAATTCAGTGTATGTGTTTGCACGGGTCATTTTCGTATTCTGACTATCGTCAACCAGGGCGGGCAGTTGATGTTTTTCACAGCGCGCGGTTGCGTTTCAGAGCGGATCGGATGAAAATCAATCGATCAAGGGTTTATTATAAAATCGTCGCGCTCGAAAGCGAATTGCGAAGTTATTTAAAACATTTGCTTAAAACTATCAATATATTAAAATGTACCTTGTACTACATGCATTATGTTACAACAATTGTTTTACGAATCTATGAATTAATACAGAAAGATAAATGTACTTTTATATTTACAAAATTTACAAATTATGCGATCGAAGACACATTCTCCGTACCTTAAATTGCAATTGTGTTCATTGGCCCGAGACGGTGGCATTAAATTATTAAGGTGTGAATCAGGCTGTCTCATTTTGTCAAATGTTTTTGTGCACAAAGCATCATGTCTTGCGCGTAATGTCGAACATTTGGCTTGGTCTGAAAGGCTCGTCAGCCAATCAAATTGCTTCATTTTGACTGATAAAAAATAAATTACCTTACTGTCCATCAACTTTCTTTGTTGTAACATCGATATTTCATTGATTTTTCCAAAACAAGTTTTCTTCTGAAAACAAATTTTCAATTTGAGGATTGTTTGCAAAACACATAATGAGTTATATTCATTACATTATTATTTACCTTGTGTAGATATTAACGAATGTACAAGTGGTTCGCATACTTGTCATATTAATGCTGATTGTACAAACAATGCTGGATCATACACCTGCATGTGCAAGAATGGGTTTACAGCGAATGGTAGAGCTTGTGATGGTAAGTAGACGTTGTTCCCGATCGAGTGCTATATATATATATATATATATATATATATATATATATATATATATATATATATATATATATATATATATATATATATATATATATATATATATATATATATATATATATATATATATATATATGTATATGTATATAGGATATTATATAAGTGCTTTGCGCGCACATTGGAGCGAGGCCGCGAGCAAGTCACCACGTCAGGTCATATTGGAAGTTCTTTGGTTCATATTCCCGCTGAAATGAATGATCACGCGAGTTTGTTCATATGGCATAAAGATTTATTTTTGCTTTGCAGGGATTACTATATCGAGCCACCTTAAATGAGTATGTTATACAGCGTTTCGGTAAAAATCCTTTCAAGCGTGCCCAACAAAATTGGCCGCCCAACATCATGCAACAGCGTTGAAATATTTGCTTTAACTGCTTAGTTTTCAAGTCTTTTCGATAAAATCATAAGATTTATCAAAATTGAAAATTTGCGCTTCAGCTTATTTAAAAATTGCTTGATGATATCGAGACAATAATGTTGAGTATATATACGTTTTAATGAACCTTACATCACAGAATGGAGATCACACAGAAGTTCGACTTCTTATTGGCGTTTATGATTTTGGAGTAACTGTAATACTTTCTCTATGTTCCTAGTGAAACCTGACTTGTTAGTGGCATTGCTTGTAAGTCAACCTTTATAAAACATGAATGGCAAGAATATAATATTGCGAAATATGTCTTTGACACATTCTCGTTGTTTTCCATTTCTTCATTACTTCGCGGAGCGCCGTTCCGGGCGTAAGCCCGGGGCGAGGGTACTAATTCCGCCCGGCTATTTACACCCGGGGAAACGAAAGCATTAGCGAAGTCTAAAGTTCATCATTGATCGCGGGCGTGGGTTACCGTGCGTGGTTCGTTGGGTGGTCATCTCACTGATCTCAAAATATGGCTGTTTGCCAACATTTATAAGAATTGACTTAGTATGAGAAATCCTAAAGTATAGGGCAAGTTTGTTCCAATTGTTTATGTATGACTTTGTAATAATGTCGACTTTGTTCTTGATGTTCAAGTCTTTCCTATACATTGTTTGCGAACGTTTCTTATATATAGTTAAATTAACCTTTGTAGAAGTTCATGATAAAAAGGAAAGCTAATTATTTTCATTAGCGTCCTCGGTACGAATTAAATTTATTTCATTTCAAAGTGCGAGTAATAAGTTGAAGCTCGAGTTGAAGAGTTTATAAACATCGGCAAAAAGCAGTTAATTTCAATTCACATTTAAGAACGTTTTACTTACAGTTTCGTTTTGAATTTTACATTAAAATATTAAGCCCATAGAAACCAAAATAATATACCTATACTATATACCTTTTGAAATTGATAGTTCTGTATTTAAAAGTGTTCAAATTTCATCTATTTTTTCCCCGGTTTGTACAAAAAATTAAAAAAACAATTATCGTGTTGCCATGACTAACATGACGTGGCAACGAGAGCCTGCGTTCAGTCCCAGAGTAGAGACATACAGAGACGTAACTAGTGTGCCCACTTTTTTGTGCGCATGCTCTGCAAGTTACTAGATGCATGCATCTGATTGGATGACGACCTGATGACAACTCACTTTAAACTTGCTGAGCACGCGCAGTTGATCATTCTTCGCCCGGTCGCCTGAGAAAAAGTGGGTACATGATAACGTAATCTTCCGCAGTGTTTACGACGGTCAGTTACGTCTCTGTATGTCTCTACTCTGTGGTTCAGTGTTGGCGTAATTACGAATACTTCATGTTGAAACAATGTTTGGAAACTATAGGCGAGGGCCGAGGGGTTGTTGCATGCATGTCTAGTAAGATATTAGGATGATACACATCACTGGAAACTACTTTGGTCTGGACGACTGGCTGTAGCTAGCTTTAAGCCAGTTACAGACCAACTTCGTACCCAGGGTTCTCTTTTTGCTGGCCGCGAGCTGAAAGAGAACCCTGGGTACGAGGTTGGTTCCAGACGAGCAAGTTTTCTATAACAAGTTTTTAGGTGGCAAGTTTTATTTGCTCGTCTGTACACGCAACTTTGACATTTTTTACTGTGACAAGTACACTTGAGCTAGCAGGCTAGCTATTGAACAAGTGTAAGTGTCACACTAAAAATTTTGTATAATTGTATTGCTCTATATCATCAAGCAATTTGGATATTCATATTATATTGTTGGAGATATATTACCTTACTGTCTATCAACTTTCTTTAATTTGTTGTAACATCAATATTTAGTCATTGATCTTTCCAAACATCTTTGTCTTTAGCTTCTGAAAACAAATTTTCCAATTGAGGATTGTTTGCAAAACACATAATGAGTTATATTCATTACATTATTATTTACGTTGTGTAGATATTAACGAATGTACAACTGGTTCGCATACTTGTCATATTAATGCTGATTGTACAAACAATGCTGGATCATACACCTGCATGTGCAAGAATGGGTTTACAGGGAATGGTAGAGCTTGTGATGGTAAGTAGACGTAGTTCCCGATCGAGTGCTTACTGTGTATGTTAAGGTGACTCGTTACGTGCAAAATTTAAACATACGTCACCTGTTTTTCAAGAAATTAATTTTTAAATATATATATATATATATATATATATATATATATATATATATATATATATATATATATATATATATATATATATATATATATATATATATGCAACACGCAGAATGGAGCGAGGCCGCGAGTAAGTCACCACGTCAGGTCATATTGGAATTTCTTTAGTTGATATTCCCGCTGAAACGAATGATCACGCGAGTTTGTTCATATGGCATAAATATTTGTTTTCGCAATTCTTGTATAAGGATTTTGTAGGGATAACTATATCGAGCCACCTTCAACGAGTATGTTATACAGCGTTTCAGAAAAAATCCTTTCAAGCGTGCCCAACAGTATTGGCCCAACATCATGCAACAGCGTTGAAATATTTGCTTTAACTGCTTAGTTTTCTATAAAATCATAAGATTTATCCAAATTGAAAATTTGTACTTCGATCAGCTATTTAAAACTTGGCAACTTGCTTGATGATATTGAGAACAAACCTTGCACCACACAGAAATCCTAGCCAGTGCACTTACGAGAGGCATTCAAAAATTGACGTGTTTCACTTGTTTTATTTCAGAGATAAATGAATGTGATGAAAATTCTAATTTATGTCCGAGCAACACGATTTGTGAAAACACCTATGCATCATATCGCTGCAACTGTCCACGTGGTCAGAATTACATCGACCAAGTGTGCACAGGTAAACGAGTTATCCAAACTTTACCATTTTTTGATAATTTAATTCATCGTGTGCTGAAATATACTCTTTAATTAAATTAATCTGCTATAAGAAGAACCCTGCATTGATTAATTAATGGTGGGTGTTGAGTCTGTAAGTTGCGGTCATTTAAATTTCAACATAAACCATTCGAGCAAATTCTGGTGAGGCCTGTCGTCTTTGTACTAGTTCTTGTTTCTTTCGCGGTACGGCCAGTTTCTAATATTTTAAGTTCAGTGATGCCGCCGAGGGGAGGCGAGCTATGTTTTTCACAGTGTAGTTTTAGATACTTAATGATTCAAGCACGTTATACGTGAAAGAACAGCCGGAAAATAAGTAAAACACACACCAAATTATTGTGGGAGAATGGGATCAGGGTGAAGTGAACCAATTATAACATTAACACATATACTCTGGTCAACCCAAAGACTCATTAAGCATTATGTTTTCGTCGCGTAGGGGTATATGTTAAACCTTCTATGAGTGACTGGATGCCCTAGGGGTGATAGGGCCCTGTCAGACTGGTAGCGAACGCTTCTGAACCAAGGGGTGATAACCTCCTTGGACAGTATATACCTACAATTCGACTGATTATATTTGCCGTAAATAACCTTTGTTCTGTTGAGTCTATGGGCCTGAAGATGACCATTGCATTAGAGCAGCTTTCCCACAAAGCTTTTATCTTACAAGTTCTTCTTAATCACTTATCACTGCATAAATGGTTATCATTGCACACTAATATTAGGTCTCTCGGGCATTTCGTGAACTAGTATTTTGCATTTTAGATGTTCTGGTCTTCAACCTTCAGTTCACTATTCGAAATGTATCATTTACTAATAATTTGAATGATCCCCGAGATGAAGATTATTTGAAGTTAAAATCTCAACTGGAAAGTTCGGTAAGAGTTATAAAATTGATGGAAGACGATGTTGATGAGAAGGAATGCTCATATAATGAAGAATTTTACTTAGGTGTATGGACGTTGTAATTTTGAAAAATTGTTGAACAAAACATACTCCGAATGGAGAAGCATGTCGTCAGAGCAAGCGCCTTTCACCAATGAAATCGTGGGTTAATCGATTCGTTGCCCACTCATGCGTACAGAGTCCGTCAACACTCTGCCGAAAGTCGCGGGTTTTCTCCGGGTACTCCGATTTCCTCCCACGGGGAAAGTTGTCAAGGTGAATTAGGGTAAACACATGCAGTTAAAGTTAAGAAAGTAATCATAATTTTTGTGAAAGATAAAATAGTTTAGGCCAACTATGTAGTTAGGTAATGAGATTGACCTGTGTTTCATCTGATATTTTGTGCATGAAAATAAAAGTAAATAGGTAAGCTTAATACTTGATGTAAAGCGCATTTGATTATATCCACATGCATGTAAACTTGCGCTAAAAGTGCTAAAGAAATCTTAATATTTTAGTGTCCGTTAAAAGCATTGGAAATGCTTTATCCGTGTTATTTCTGTTTAGGTGGATAATGTGTACAATAAATCTGATGAACGAAGCTTTTACATTGCGCCTGCACGTTTGCAATGGTTTAGGTAAGAAGTATTCTCTATATTGTTCTTCTCTTTAACCAAAAGTTACTTAAGTATATTGCTCATGGTTGCTCATGTGGGAAGTGATCACCATGACCATTGTAAATGAAATAATGTAAATTTTGAAAAGCTGGCCGATCATTATTAGCCAATGTCCGAGCATCTACACACTTGAACGGATATTTCTCAGACCCAAACGAAATTGTTATAATCCACACTCATATCGACTGAATCTCTATCAATACTAGATTCCCCTTATTATGTTTTCGTAGCGCTTTGCATTGTGGTTATAGTGGTATCACTGATATTCAAGATGGCTTATTTTTTGTCCTGACCCGTGCAAGAACTTTAAAAAAAGCTAGGGTTAGGTGCGCGATAGCCAACAGCAAAATATTCGCGTAAACATTCAATATTTTCATTCGAGGCCACTATCTTTATCAGTGATACCACTACAACCACAATGCAAAGCGCTACGAAAACGTAATAAGGGGAATCATCAATTGTCCTTTGACTTCTGTCCAGTTCACACGGTACTGGAATTAATTCGATCCCTATTCTCATAATTTTAAGATCCCCCTTTTCGAGTGCACACGGAACGCATGAAACCTGACTTACCTGAAGAATTTGAAAGCACGGCTATAACCGTACAAATTCTGATATAAACATATAGAAACGAACGAATTCGCGTTTGGGTACGACATGCATGCAGTTTTTAGTGAATTAACATAGTCGTATAAATATCAAAAATGTTTTTCTATAATTTAGCCAAGGTCCATCAAATACAGTGACAGCAAACTTCAGTATATTCTTCAACCCATTAGTAAGACAAATGTCGATGGGTGATGTTCGGACAGAGTTCATTTCAAATTTGGCAACAACAGCAAATGGTCAGTCAGTGCTTGAACCGCGTTACGAGCTGACTAGTAGCAGTATTGCGGCAGGTTTGTACTTTTATTTGTACAAAATATAGTGTATAGGATTTGTATGCTTTTTACGGTCTTACGACAAAGGGTTCGATTCCGAAATTGACAATTAATATATTCTCAATCCAATTCTAAAAATTATTTGAGGACATAGATATTGAGAAAGGAATAGACGTTATGTATTCAAATAATTTTTTAAAGTTATCGTACTCTTCCCTAGCCTGCTTGCAGCCCGAAATTTCATTAAAGCCAATTTGTGTCGTAATACTAAAGCCTGGTTTCCATTTAGTCCTAACTATCGTGAACATGCCATGATGACTAATGTATCATATTTCTATATAGTCAGCACACAAAAGACGAAATAGATGCAGACTAGCTATTTCACATCGTTGAACATGACTTGGTCACGACAATTTACGATAGGGAACCAGGTTTAAAGGCCCGGTCACACTACACAACGATAACGATACGATAAATTGTAAACACGCGATAATTGGCAAAAAAATTGTGTTAGTGTCCACACAACAACGAAAATGATAAAATTATCGTTAGACGATAACGATAACGATTTTAAAATCGCTCATCTGAGCGATTTTTTTTTCAGCCGGACGATAACGATAAATTTTTGACCAATCGGCGCGCGTGTACAAGTTATCGTATCGTTATCGTTGTGTAGTGTGACCTGGGCTTAACTGTTGTCAATGGGTTTAACGTGTAACTGTACAGCGACAGACAATGAAAGAGTTTTTGTTGCGTATATTATAAATATGTTCAAAACACGCAGCCTAAAGTTTTTTTGTGGAATACTTGGAACTAGTACGCGAGCGTTGATTGATGGAAAAGTGTGTTTCTACAACTGTATGTAAGGAAACACGAGAAATTTCCTGTCTCGCAACTTTGTTAAGTTTACTTAAATAAAACAATTTTAACACGCGCTGAAAAACCAAAAGACAACAAGGGAATTCTCAGTTTAAACATAGTTAATAGAATAGATGGTTTGGAAACTCATTAGAATAACAATATAACTCATTATCGATGTTAGTCAACGTTTATTCATAAAGTCATAAATATATTCTTCCACCGTCACGTGTGTATTGTATTTTTGCCAAATCCACCAATAGCAATTCCCAATTTACCCTATTGTTCGAGTCACTGATAGGTAACTTTGCGAAAACATTGCTATTGGTTAGTTGGGCAAAAATACAATACGCACGTGACGGTGAATGATCATGTTTATGAATAAACGTTGACTAACATAGATAATGAGTTATATTGTTATTCTATAATGAGTTTCCAAACCATCTATTCTATATTAGCTATGGTTTAAATAGAAGAGAACTTGACAATTTATAGTCAGGCAATTGGTCGAGTGGATTTTATGTTGAGGTAATGAGAATATGTAAATTAATCGCTGCCACTGTTTATTTCTCGTTCTCCTAAACTCCCACGAACGTTTCTGTGACTGTATAGAAACACGGGAAATATTTTGTATTTCTTAAACGTTTCACCGTTTTCGGAGTGACAATTGTTTTGTATTTGATACTAATCCTCAGTGGTTTCTTTCAAAACGTTTCTCAATTAGTTCCAATGTAATTAATTCCATAGCAGAAAAGTAGTGGCTCAAATATCACCAATGACTTAAAAACTACTCTAAAGACACATAAACATTGAATAAAACTATTAATTGCCTAAATGTATTTTTCAGGTGATTATAATGAATGTAGCTATAGTCCCAGCGTGTGTGACAGTGATGAGTTGTGCCAGAATTATCCAGGAACATATCGATGTTATTGTAGCAGTCCTCGAGCGGTCAATATTAACAACGTTTGCACAAGTAAGAACTCTGATCTATATGAATGGATTCATAAATATGCTGAACATGTTTTAAATCATGCCTTCATGACTTGGGGGAGGGGGAGTGACTCCCCATGTGTGTGTGCTATACAGGTATACATGCCGCCCCGAAGTATCTCACTTTGACTTGCTATATGATCTGATATCGAGATATAAATTGAACTTGGGTCGGTTGTGTGTATTTTCGTCTGAAATCGGGTACAGATTTGGAGAACAGGTTGAAATAAAGTATGGAAATTCGGTGATATTTTTCTCTTATAGAAACGTATAAGGGTCTCAACAGTCAACTTCTTGACCCCCGCAAAATTCTGAGGAATACCCCCTCCACACCATCCTCCGCTGTCCAATTTCTGATTCAGTCTAAACACAGAGAAGTTTGTTGAAAAACGAGATGATAGCCAAGTGTGTTTGGAATATAAATTGGCCTTGGAATGTATCAGATATATAAATGGCTAAGGACTTCTCAACCCAATCACTTAATTATGGAAATAATTCGCTTCTAAAATTAGGTCAATTTACGAGAATTTGATATCTCAGTTTTCTTAACTACATCTCGCTAGCGAATTTTCCTTGTGTTGCTATACCCATGGATTCTTGATGGCTTCTTGAGCGAAAAAAATTCTTGCAACTCGAGTCGTTTTTCCTTCGAACAACATCATTTAACGAAACATTTCAATAATATTGATATATTTTCTCAAAAAGCCATCACACTAACAATAACACGAAATTCTTGTTCCTTAATTGTTTTATTTCAGACGTGATTACTTACGAAGCTGGTCTTTTAATTCTTAATATTCCATTTGTTCCTGAATTGGATGATCCATATTCTTTACTTTTCCTTCAACTTGCTGAAGATGTACAGATTCAGGTAAGCGGGTTTTTGGCGAGGAATGATAGGCAGTCTTGTAATTTTTGTAATTTTCGTGATTCCCTAAGTACAGTACTACCGTAAACAATAAATTATTGTGTAAACCAACAAAGAAAAATATATATATATATATATATATATATATATATATATATATATATATATATATATATATATATATATATATATATATATATATATATATATATATATATATATTTTA